AGGGGGGTTCTTCCCACCGATCCGTCAGGTGGAACCCCACCTGCCATTTGGGCTTTGCTCCCGGCGCCTTCCGAGGTTGTTCCTCGGTATCCATGGGCACCACTTTCTTGCCAGTGATGGCACCTTCGTCCCCATTCCCCATCCCTTGGGAAGCAAGAGGGGAGGGATGTAGGGCAGAAGTGTAATGACAGAGATTACTGTCAATCTGTAAGACTCTGCAGTAACTCTCAGACGCGATAAGTCTGTTTATGGATTTTATTAACAATCAGGAAAGTTGCAGGTGAATCAAAGGCTTGGACAGTAATGGCAGATAATACAAGTTTAGCTCTTATGAGAACTTTGGTGCAGCCCACATTCATAGATCAGGTTTACATGTGACAGAGACAGGTTAATAAAGTACAATTAATACTGTGAGAATGTTTATCTAATTCCTGCAAGACCAAAAGACATCATGAGAAGCGAACTATCTCCTGGCCATTGTGGAGGAGGTTTCTCATAAAAGTGTACCAAGCGCTCTATCTACAATAGACAACCAAGTCTGTTTCAACTACCCCTCATCCTGGAAATGTCAGAGGAGGACTTTATAGAATAGTTGATTCATAGCTAGCAGGTGTTATAATCAGCCTGAAAACAAGAAGCCAGTGTGAGAATACAGAGATAAAGCATTTGGGATAATATGCAAGCAAGCAGGGCATTAAGCTATGTACATCAGAACACCAGTGAGTATCCAGACTGACCCCAAACAACCATAGGTCCGATTCTGACACTGCTCTGCCTTAGAGAGAGGAAGACAGCCCTCTTCACTATGTCAGAGAGAAGCGTTTTGGAAAACAGTACAAAAACCTTCCTCTACTGGAACAGCTGCACAGACCAGTGGCCATACCAGGTGTTCTGCAAGGAACAGCAAGAGGCCATCACATTTTCAAAGCTAACCAATTTATTGTAGCACCAGGAACCTGGCCTTTGGTGGCGCCAGGACACAAATCCCTCTGGTAAAGAAAATATTATTTTCACAGTTCCTTCAGCTCCTGACTCCACAGTCAAGAAAAAGTGGAGTTAAAATTGATTCTCGGTCAAGGGCCATGTAGCCCTCTTCCCCAAGAGACAATCTACAAATGGGGGGGGGGTCTGAAATGGGGGGGGGGGCATGTGAGATTCCCAGCATTCACTTCTTTGCATTTGCCCTGGTTTATGGCCAGCACAGGAGAGTCTGTTTATAGCACTCACCCTGCCCTGTGGATAAATCAGAGATTCTCATCCACATCTTTAAAAAGGGGGTACATATCAAATAGGAATCAGAAATAATGTGAAGGAGCTGGCCAGTAGGCACAAGAGTTTCCTTGAACACAAGCCTGAGTTCTGCCTCCTAATGGCCTAGATCACAAATATATCTCTATAAAGTTATTTGTCGTGACTGGAGTGCTGTTTCTCATATCCTATTTCTTTTAACTGGGGAGGGGGTCATTTAATGTGATAATGTGTGCTTGGTGGGCAGTAGTATATTATAGCTTGACAACTTTACGTCTCCCTCTTTCTTTCAGATTCCTTCCAGGAAATAGCAACTAAAGTAGCTAAATTTTGCCTTAGGGCATGTGGGATACGCAAGTGGCTGACCGAGTCTTAATAATAACAACCCTGTCTCTGTCCCCTCACAATCAGCGCTCAATCTTAAATTTTATTCTATTTTTGTTTTATTATTTTTTAATCCTTATCATTACTGGTCTTATATCAAAATAAACTTTGAACTGAACTGATACTGTAGCTTAAGAACCACTGGGTTAAAACAGCTGTTGGATAAAGGCTTTGTTGCTGTTAATCATGTTAAAATTCAGGGTAAAACAACAGAAGACTTTGCTTTTTGTTTGCATCAAAAGATATATCTGGCCCCAGATGGGGAAGCCTGCTTTTTCAGCCAGCCCAGGTTCAAAGCCCCATTCTGTTATAAAGCTAAAGACAGGATGAGCATAAGAGAGAATGGATTTGTCCATTCAGAGCGCTTAAGGGGCACCACCAGCAGAGATATAGGGTTTTTTTCTGAATTAAAAATTGGAAGCTCCTCCCTCTGACATTCAGAAAGGTTGACTTTACAGTAAGAGTTCAAACTAAGTATCTACTAGCAGAGTAGTTCACTGGTGTTTCTACAGAGCTCCCTGGCCTGGCAAGCCCAGAGCAGTGACTCACAGAGACACAAAAGGCAGGCTCCTCTTGAGTAGTAATGTTGTTATGTGAGAGGATCCTTGATTTATTGCAACTTAAAAATATTCCCACACAAACAACATGGGTGACAGGCTCCCCTGAACACAGAGACCATTTTTCTCTTTCATGAGCAACCTGATATTGAATATTTGAATAACCTGTGAGAAAGTCCTAGAAGGGACTTCCATTGAGCAGCCATCTATGGAAGAAGAGAGAAACTGTTATGATTGATAATATCAATGCAGAAACATGGCAGAATTACCCCCTCCCTCCTAGAGATGTGAAGGCTCAGAAAGAAACTGGGAAAAAATAGGAAAACATGGTTTTGGTTTTTTCTGAAAAATTGAAAAAAGAAAAAAAATGATTATGGAACATTTTATTTTATGATGAATAAAATATTTTAAGACAAGGTGTTCAAATATTTTCCAGATAATTTCTAAAAAAGATGTATGGTATCAGATTAATCTAATTTCTGTGCACTGAGGACAAGCAAGTCCTAGGTTACAAACTGAACTTTGTAATAATTGTTTGGATACACTATGTTTTAATATGCTAGTTGTGATAATTTCATGCCAAGTAAAATTGTCCATAGTCATATTTTATGTTCCTAAATTAACAGAATGACTTTCAATCTGGAAAAGAAAAAAGAAGCACTAATGTAGAATTTTTTTTCAATTTTCCCGAAAATTTCCATTTTTACCCGGAAAAAACCTGGGTTTTTTCCTGAGCTTCAAAATTTCTGGAAATTTTACATCTCTACTCCCACTATATAAAATCCCACAGAAGCTGACCAAGCAAGAACAGTAACAGATGTTCCAAGTTACCTGGAGTATTTCTAAATGGAGAGAGCAGCCCAACATACATTTTAAATAAAATCAATAATTCAGAGATAGGACAGTGGAGCACCTAGCCTCAGCCCCTGGCACCTCCAGTTAAAAGGCTCTTGTGAGTGTCAGGAAAAGCCCTGGAGGGTTGCTGTCAGTCCAACTGGACCATGTGGAGCCAGAAGGACAAAGGAATAAGGATGGGCACGAACCAGTTCATGAACAACAGTTCATGATGAATTTTGACCAGTTAGTAGTTCTTGAAGTGAAGTTTGTGGCAGGTCAGCCGGCATGAACTTTCCACAAACTTTCAAATAGTTCATGCTGGTTAGTGAATGGATACATTTCCAGACAGTCTCCACCCAAACAAAATGTTTACCAAACTTTAAAGCAGGGGGGGGGGGTGGAACTCTCCAGCCTTGTCAGTTTCAAGAATTTTTCTTCTTCTTTTGCAGGCCTTCCTTTAGTGTTTCCTTCCAATTTTTTGGCACAGAGCTTGTGAAATCCCCTCCCTTTGCTTGGATTTGTGACTCTGTTCTTTGAGATCAGTCCTTTTAAGCTTGCAATGCCAGTAGCACTGGGTTTTGCTGGCCACTAGTACAGTGCACTGGTTCTGCTGGGCTTGCAACCCCCTTTCCTTGCTTGGAGTGTGATTCTGTGCTAGATATTAGTCCTGTTGAGCTGGCTTTGCCACCATGGCACTGGATTCTGCTGGTCGCTCTTTGATTGCACTGGTACTGCTAGGCACTCTGTATATTACACTGGTTCTGCTGGGCTTGCAAAATGGCCCCCTGGTTCTGTTGGGCACATTGCACTGGTTCTGCTGGGCTTGCAAAAATGACCCCCAACAACCTTCAGTTTCTACTGCAGCAATTCTCTGGTTTGACCTTAGTCCTGTTGGGTTTGCACTGCAACAGTGGCACTGGTTCTGCTGGGCTTGCAAAACTGGCCCCCACTGTCAGTTTCTACTGCAGAGATTCTTGAGGACTTTGTTTCTGTACTGCTGGGCTTCTATTGCCCTTGCTTTTTTTGTTGCTTTTTTTCTCCATTGGAAACAATGGAGGATGGGGGTACCTTCTCTGGGGGGCTGTCACTCAGATCCCATAAATCCAATCCTCTCCAAACTTGGAGGGCAGGTAGAGTCAACCAGAGATCCCTGTGAGTTTGGTGTCTAGCATGTCAGGGGGTCTTTATAGCATGTCACGAACCTTATAAACCGAACTGGTTCATTTAGCCTCTAAAGGTTTGTGATGGTTTGTGAGCATGCCACAAACCACAAACTTATATTGCCGGTTCGTGTCCATCCCGGCAAAGGAACACACATGAAGCTGCCTCATACTGAGTTAGATCTTGGCTACTCTGACTGGCTGGCCCGTCTCAGTTAGCAGTGGGGTTGCCAACCTCCAGGTAGTGGCTGGAGATCTCCTGGGATTTCAACTGATCTCCAGGTGACAGATTAGTTCACCTGGAGAAAATGGCTACATTGGAGGGTGGACTCTATGGCATTGTACCCTGCTGAGGTCCCTCCCCAGGCTCCACCCCCAAAATCTCCAGGTATTTTCCATCCTAGAGCTGGCAATTTGAGGTAGAGGTCTTTCAACTTACTACCTGATCTCTTCAACTAGAAATGTCAGGATTGAATCTGAGACCTTCTGCATGCCAGGCAAATGCTCTACCACAGAGCCATGGTTCCCATTAAATAGGACTTAATACACAGTTTGGAAGCCAAAAGGATCAGACCCTGCATTATCTGTTATTATTATTTATTAATTCAAATTTATACCCCGCCCTCCCCGCGCATGCTGTTCAGCTACCAGAGATGCTTTCATTCAATGGAAGGAGCCTTCTACCAGAGGAAAGCACTCACAAGCAGAGCACAACCTTGCGAGGTCCAACCCAAGAGATTAATTCGGTATACTTGCCAATACAAGTAAGAGGCGCACACACAAAACACAAATGGGGCAGAAACAAAGTCCAGTGTTTGGCTTTTATTGAGACACAGCTTTCTTCCTTTCATATAACTTATCTAGTTAAAATATTCATCTCCATAGTTACCACAAAAAAGTAACATAGAAAATTGTTATTTACACTCAGGGACCAAAATACAACTGTAATTCAGCATTACCTTTTCCTCATGGTACACCCCCCCCAAAAAAAAAGGACTCTGTTTTTTGTAGTGTAGCAGTGAAAACAGTACTTATTTTAAAATGTTCTGGACACCCAAAGGAGAATCGGAAGTGGAGTGGTTTCACTCTGCAACGGATCCCACTTGGGCACTGTCTTCCCATTAAAAGGAGATTCAAAATTCTTTCAAACCATTTAATTTAGCATCTGGCTTTCAGAGGGGAAGATCTCACCTTCCCAACTAGGGAGGGGCATGACAGCTCCTTCTCCTGCCTCTCCAGAGGGCCTGCTTCATCCATTGAGAAAATGCTTTCCAGTACAAGAGTTAGAATTCATAATATTTGCACTGCAAATTTCCCTTGGCAAAAAACCCACCACCAAACTAGTCCAAAATACTGACAGGTGGCTTGAATTCACAGATATGAAGACCCAGTTCCAGTGATGAAGTAGACCCAATGGCATAGCTGGTGGCAGAGCCACACATTCCGCTAGGCACTATCCAAATTATTGACCTTGACCAGTAAGGTGGTACTAGCAACACTCGGGGTGGGGGGTGGGGGCACCTGATGGAACAAGCCTAGGCTGCCTCCTCCCGCACTCCACTGAATTTGAGATCCTGTCCTTCCATCCCAGCAAGACACAATATGCATTGTGAAGGGGAGGAAGCTACAAAACCTTTGACCCCACCTTGTAATGATGACAATACAAGAGCCAGGTGGGCAAGGCTTCAGTCAGGTAGCACAAGATGCCATTTCAGTCTGCAGTTCCTCAGCTGGGGCTGAAAAAGTTTGCAAGACCTGTCTGCATTCTACTTGCAATTAATGGGCAGAGAGCAGGGGTGTCTACCAGGGTCAGACTTTAGGTATCCAAATTTAACACAACTTGGGAATCCTATGGATGCATATGAATGCTCTTTCCTCACTGGCCAACCCATTGGTTTCTGAACCATTCCGTTTCCCCTTCCCAGTCCCAATTATAAAGAGGAGAAGAAGAAAAAAACACACAAACACACATTAAAAAGCACAACAGGAGGCAGATTATATAATTAACTATACAGCAAAATTAAATACAGCAAAAGCAGGAAAGGAGCACAATTTCTTCTTTAAAACAGCACAACACGCTTTGAAATGGTACACAATGTAATTTAAAGCTTTCTGGGGCCTTTGATTGGCTTGAAGCAGACTGCGAGAGACCCATTTTCAAATACCATCATCATTAAAAACTCATAGAAAAAGGAGCTGGAACTGCAGGGACGTTGCATTGGACAGAGAAACGTCAAGAGGGCTTTTCCTATCCCGCATGGCACGTGAGTCACAGCAAAAAAAAAAAAAGAAGGTCCCATCCTACCCCAAATGTTGAGGGGTTACCAGTGGAAAGAATGAGCAGGGTCTTTCCAGTCATGAACGCCAACTGCCTCCTAGTATAGATGTGGAGCATTCGTGCAAGGTCAGATGCTACAAGACTGGAAAGTCACTAGAAGAATTCCCCCTCCTTCCCTATGAATCAGCCTCTCCTTCATAAGGCCTCCTAATCAAAGTTCCTTCAGCCTTGGCACCGAGAAGCACACTGTCAAACTTCCCAAGACATATTCCACATCTTCTCTCTACACCCGTCACCATCGGGATAAACAGCCTTTTTACAGCCCAGGGTCCCCTCCTCCAGCATTTTAAAACAGCAGTGCCCAAGCAACACATTTTCCTCAAGCTCTCCTCAGGTGGGTCAGACCCACAGGTAACACCCAGGAGGCTTTCCCTTGGCCTCGCAAGTGATGAAAATGTTGCACTGTACTCAACCCAGTTGCAGATGCTCCAGAGAGACAGAAATCTATGCCGTTTGCCTGCCACTTCTTCCGACATCTGGTGTCCGGGACTCCTGATTTCACCTGAGGGGGGATGCCTTTTCCCATCAAGTGATGGGGCATTACAAACTAAAATGCTGAAGTCATGACTCCCTTGAAGTACTTTGCAAGGGATTTGGTGGACCTGAAGTGGCTGCATAAAAAAACGAAACCTCTTTTGACCAAAATCCAGGAGGGAGGGGAGAAACAACAAATCTAAAACCTTTTTTTAAAGTTTTAAAAAACACAAAATGCACGCACACACAAAGACACAGCCCCCGCCCCCCAAAAAAACTAAACACTAAGACCTTCACTATTCCTGTTAAAAACAAATTTGGCTTCCAAATGTTGTGATCCATTTAAAAAAAATAAACAGCTGAGTGCTTAAAATTTAGATTTGTGCATTTTCCACGGCCTCCTCAAAAAAACTAATGTGCTGGGGTTTTTTTCCTATGACATTTAAAAAGGAGGATGGGAGGGCTCCCCCCCCCCACTCTTTTTTCCAAGGAACAGAAGATGGAATGGAGGGACTTCCTCAGCAGCTAGGCAAAACTGGCTGCTCCCAATCTGCACAAAGGTTTCAGCAAGGGAAGGAACGTGGGATTGAAGGGAAAAAGGGATTACAAAAGGGATGCTCCAAAGATGGCCTGACAAAAAGCTGGAAAACCTCTGGCAGGATCTAGGGATTGCCGGGTGGAGCTTTAAATACAACATCCAGATTGGGAGTACAGGCTTTTCTTCAAGAGCAGAGCTTCTGAGGCACGAGAGTTCTGGATCCTTAAACTGGGGCTGAGGAAAGCACTGCAGGTCGGGTGGGAGGGGTATTCCTTTCCATTCCATCATCAGGGCGGGCGGGGGCGGGGAGAAAGACAGATTACAGGCCAAGCTGCAGTCTCTGGACTTCCTTGTTTCCACACGTATCCAGATTTCACATTTTCAGATGCCAGGCTACGGGAGAAGAGGGTAGGGCCAGAGGGCTGCTTCAAACAATACTGTGCTGTTGGTCTTCCACTGGGGTTGGGGGGGGGGATCCTGGGCCCCACTCCCTGTTTGCCCACAAATAATTCTTCTCCCATTGAAGAGACGGGCTTCTTTCTTCTCCTTTCCTCATGGGCAACTTTATCTTCGGGAGAATCTGTTTTTGAACGCTTTAATAGTCTTTGCCATCATGGGTGCAATTTCTGAAAAGGGGGGGGAGAGAGACAATGAAGAAGGTGGCAAGCATGTGCAGGAACATCTCATCGTGAAATCCCAAGTTCATACCTGAGAGACAGTTACTAGTCATTTTGATCTGGATCATGCTTTTTATACTTAGCCACCAGAAGGGACCCAGACAAGGCAAGTAGAAAGCTAGAAGTGGGATAGCCTTACAAAGAAGAAATCTGGCCCACAGTTTTATGAGCTAATGCAGATGAAACCATAAAGGCAAGGGGAAGTAATACAAGAGGAAGGGGAAGGTCTTTCTTGGCTCGGTGCACATTGTTTTGCTTCCTCACAGACCCCTGGCTCTACAACACTTCTCCACTGACACTAAGTTCCTGCCCAGCTGCATAACATTTTAGGTTTCCTAATGGCGCTCTCTTTCTTTCTGCCGTGATGCTTCCCTTCCCACTGCTTCAAGGGATGGCATCGCAACAGCTCTTTGGCTGGGTGCCTCTAGATGAAAAGTGCCCCAACAAAAGTGAATGCTGTGGTGCTGCCTCTTCTAGTATTATGAGAGGGGGAAAGCACGCATGTGCCTTGAGGGGTGCAAAGAACACACCTGTACATACACAAGACAATGGGATGTCAGTAATAACCAGGGGTACATGCCAGGATTCCATAGCCCTGCCAAAAATGCAGAGGAGAGGGACAAATCCAACATCCTGAGATTAACACTTCTGTCATGCCATGGTATGTGTGAAATGGAATTGTTCTGAAGGGCAGTTTTAGCAAGCAAATAGGTTCGTGGTGTTCATGTTTGTGAAAAACTGTACACCCTTTGGTTTGATTGTGTAGTGTTTTTATCTCACTGGGGTGTTGCTTCTTTGTTTTAAATTTTGCAATCCACCATGAGTTTCAGTGAGAAAGGCAGACCATAAATGAAATGAAATTAATTGGGTCTCTAGCCCTAATGATTTGGATCCTAAGCTTTATTTCCATTTGGGCAGTACCCCTTTTTCATTGCAGAAGCAGCCCACTCATGCCAGATAGATGTCTTTCTGGGAGCTAAGACACAGTACTAGAGGAATATGGCCCATAGCAGAGGACCCCCCTCCAAATACACACACACACACACACTCATATAAACCTCTCTGACTATAATCAATATCTGGCTTTGAAGAGCAAAGTCTGTTATAACCTTCCTCTGCAATTCTTATTAATATTCATTATTAAACATTTATTAAAGCAGATACCCATTCCAAGGTTCAAGGAAGATGACTGGATTTAAAGCTGTACAGTAATTCAACAGTGTAAAGTGTTTCAGATATTCAAATTAAATTGTAACTAAAAAAGTTTTGACACAGAGCCAGACTTGCAACCATCTTTAATACAAAGTGGTGGCTCAAGTGGTTAAGATGCTGAACTGCAGGCTGTGGAAGGTCGGTAGTTCAGCAGTTCGAGACCCGAGTGTGCCACGTGACGGAGCGAGCTCCCGTCTCTAGTTCCAGCTCCTGCCAACCTAGCAGTTCGAAAGCAAGAAATTGCAAGTAGATAAATAGGTACCACTTTGGTGGGAAGGTAACAGCGTTCCGTGCGCCTTGGTGTTTAGTCATGCCGGCCACATGACCACGGGAATGTCTTCGAACAGCGCTGGCTCTTCGGCTTTGAAACAGAGATGAGCACCGCAATCCTAGAGTCGGATTTGACTGGCTTTCGAGCAAGGGAACCTTTACCTTTACCTTTTACAACACCTAAAAGCTACTCTCCATCTCAAAGGCCCCCCTTCTGAGAGGGTTACAGTTAGTTCTTCAACTCTCTCTCCCACCTATTGTGTCAATGAAAGATTAACCATCTCCAGACCTCGCTTCTTTCCCTTTTAAAGTCCAGGCTGCTAAGTTAAGCTATCAAAAGGAGGTTTCCGATTCCCATGTCCCAGACGGGGAGTGAAGAATCAGCCCAACACTGCAGTGTCATGATTCAGCTTGGGGCCTCCCAGCACCATACATGTTGCAGCAAATACTGGGGCACAGCCTGAACTAGGGCACAGACTTAAGTTCTTACAGGCTTGAGTCTTTCAAAAGGAAAAAGAAAAATTCTGCTAACACAAAGGGGGGGGATTTTCACCAACTCCCCCACCCCATGCTGTCCCCAAGGAGCAGCATTTCAAGGATCAATCTGGGCTGCCACAGGAAAGGCAAGGCAAGGAGGACACATTCTGCTGATGGATATCCTACCCATCAGCAGAGATCTGCCATGGGATCAAAGCTGTTGACTGGACCAGTTTAGGGCTTCGTTGTGCAAACCAAGTCCATTCCCTAGAATGAACTACCCAACTTCCTCCTGAAGAAAGACACACTAAAAACTTCCAGGAAATGATAGGGCTCCCTGAAATGCAAGTTAAAAGCTACTCCTCTAGCCACTAGGAAACACCACTCAGGAGCGCTTCTCCTCACTGCCACCACCCCTTTCCTTTTAGACACCCAGCAGCTTCAGTACCAGTCCCTGCCATCCTGTAACCCATTACGAACGATGTACAAAAAGTGCCACAGAAAATAGAGAGAAAAATTGATACAAAACCATGACAAACTACTATCAAAATTACTTCACTGATTCACAATACTCATTCATGAAACATTTCACATATATACCATACAAATCCTTAAAGTTATGTTCAATCAAGTGTAAAGCATGAAGCATCCATTTACTAATACACACAGTGTAGGTCTCTCAATAAATCTTGTGGCACAAAGAAAAAGTCTCGTTATGGCATTGACATATAGACACGAAGCCTCTAATCACTCCGTAGATATATAAAACACATTAGAGATGTGCGGCAGGTTCCAGATGCTGTTACTCCCCACCATACTCTTATTTGTAGTTTCTTCTTACATTTGAAAAGAGTTTTATTGGACAAGGTTGTTTCGTCTGACAGACTTCTGCAGATAGAGTCCGTTTCAAGGACACTTTATCAGAGATGGAAGTCCACACTGTCCAATCATCACGGTCACCTTCGCATCTCACACACTGCACACAAGGACAATCACGATTCACTCTGTGCATTGTTCTTGTGTGCACTGTGTGAGATTTGAAGACAAATGTGATCATTGGACAGTGTGGACTTCCGTCTTTTGATAAAGTATCCTTGAAACGGACTCTATCTGCAGAAGTCTGTCAGACAAAATGACCTTGTCCAATAAAACCCGTTTCAAATGTAAGAAGAAACTACAAATAAGAGGATGGAGGGGAGTAACGGCATTTGGAACCTGCCACACATCTCTATTGTGATTTATATATCTAGAGTAATTAGAGACTTTGTGTGTGTATGTCAATGCTATAAGAAGAGATTATTTCTTTGTGCCACTGAGAAACTTTTGTCGTGTATTTATGACAAGAGACTTGTCCTTATTGCCACAATATTTATTGAGAGACCTACACTGTGTGTATTAGTAAATGGAGGCTTCATGCTTTACACTTGATTGAACGTAACTTTAAGGATTTGTATGGTATATATGCGAAACGTTTCATGAATATTATGAATCAATGAAATAATTCTGATAGTAATTTATCACGGTTTTGTATCAATTTTTATACCCTGTAACCCATGGCTGTAAATTCACGCTAGACACAACACTAGCAAAAGTGATATTGCAGCATCTCTGGTCACTTACTCTTCACAGGAGGCTTCCGAGGGTCATAGCTAATGGAGGAAGTACTGCCCACAGATGGGCCCGAGTGACAGCTGCTTGTGCTTGGCCCTTCATAGGCCTGTTCCTCTTCTGCTTGAACACTGCTGCTTTTTGCCGGGGAGAAGAGGACTGGCTTTATCCTGAGGGAGAAAGAAAGATCCTAAATGACCTACATGTTAAAAAGCGTTCTGTGTGTGCTCAAGGACGACCGCTCTGCAGCTTCAGTAAATCTGCATGCATGCACACACACTAAAAAACAGGAAAAAGGGGGGGTCCTTCTTGAACAAGCTGCTTAACTTCCATTTGCAGTAGGGCCGCGGTGGCTCAGAGGTTAAGATGCTGAGCTGTAGACTGGAGGGTCTGTAGTTCAAAACCCTAGTGCCACGTGACGGAGTGAGCGCCCGTCTCTGGCCCCAACTCCTGCCAACCTAGCAGTTCGAAAACAAGAAACAGCAAGTAGATAAATAGGTACCGCTTCAGTGGGAAGATAACAGCATTCTGTGCACCTCAGTGTTTAGTCATGCTGGCCACATGACCATGGAAACGTCTTCAGACAGCACGGGCTCTTCAGCTTGGAAACGGAGATAAGCACTGCCCCTAGAGTCGGATTCGACTAGCTTTCGAGCAAGGGAAACCTTTACCACACCCCTCAGCACTGAACAGAGAGGATGTGGTTTGAGACTCACTTGATCTTCTCTGGGACGGCTGCTCCTCCAGTGCCAAACTTCTCCTGTCTTCTCCGCACATCCCGGGGGGGCTTCGCGGCAGAATTGACAAACGCCATCTTGGCTACTCTGCCTAGAATCATGTGGGTGAGAAAAACTCAGGTTAGCCAAAGGAAGCTAGTCCAGTCAAGGCCTCAAAACTAGCAGACGGCCAGCATCTTCGCTATCCTCCCCAACCACCAGGCCTCATCGGCACCTTCTCCTTTGGGAGTGCCAATATGTTCCCTGCAACAGTTTCTTTTTCTACAGCCACACAGGGGCAGGACCGAAGGCTTTTCTAACTGGCAGTTCTAACCAGCATCTCAAGAATGCATTACCAGACCTAGGGCCTTGCAGGACAAGTGGCTTATCACATCCTGCTGCGCCAAAACCAGGAGTCATTAAACAGGGACAGTTTTTTCCCCCTCCCACACTGTGTAGGTGAAGCAAGGTCTGTGAATCTACTATTTTCACTATGCCCCAGGAGTAACAGGAAGCCCCCTCATAGAGGCAAAGAGTCTTGTCATGTTCTCTATTGTAGCCGTGCACTGTAAGAGCAGCTCGGTCTACAGAAGATTAACAGATGATCACATTTATCTCTGTGCGGGGGAAAGCTCATGCTCAACACACAAGAGTAAGCCCAGCTAGGTTTTTTTAAAGTGTGTTGGCAGCCCTAGAGGTAGCCATCAAAAACTTGGGCTGAAAGCCAAACCTGGCTTCGTAGAAGAGAATTTCAGAGTTCCCCTTAATTCACTGCAGATGAACATACCTCTGAAGAAGCCACCTTTGAAAACCACGTGAGCTGTATAGAAAATGCACACCGTTTTCACAGATGCAAACTTTTATTAGGGATAAAGTCTTACCTACAATGATTGCCGTGTTGCCTTAAACAGATACATTTACATGTGTTGGGTCTGGTATTTTCCTCCTGTCCTAGAATCGCAGCCCAGCTGCATCATTTTGTCTCACTAGAAATATTTGCTCTTAGATTCAAATGTTATCATACATTATAATCTGCTCACTGAATGGCTGATGTTATCCTATTTTGTAATATGTCTACTGATGGGCTGAAAAGGTTTTTTAAATCATACTTGTGGTCTGCCTTAGATCCCAATGAGAAACAACAACAACAACAACTACTGCAACTACTGCTAAAACTTTGGTTTCATATTGATCTTGTGCTCTTAACAGCAGCCAGATGTGCAGAAATTAATCTAGCAAAGCAGTCTATTAATATGATAGACAGAAATTACAGCATCCAGCATGGAAGTGTTGTTAAAGGCAAACAGCAGACCTGAAACAAAAGCTGGCAACCCTGATCTCCGCTGCCTTTCAGGTCCATTGATCGATGGTGCCTCCCCATTTCATGCCATCTTGCCCTCCCCCTACCTTTGGGTTTATTGGCATGAGCCGAGCGGATGTTCTGGGTAAGCATGAGCAGCCTCTGCTCTCGGGCATCGTGCAGGCGGAGGTACATCTCCCGCCATGACTCGAACTCTTCCGGCTTCTCCTTCTTGAAATCACGGATGCAGTGATTGTGCCACAACTCATTAGTGTCCTCGGTTAAAAACTGGAAAACAAAGGCACAAAGAATGAGCTCAGGGGGTACAAGGGAGCCACAGAGCAGCTAGCAGCTCAGAACCATCACAGGGCACATGACATAGCTCCATCAGTGGCATTCAGATGTTCTGGACAGCTGTGGTTAATACAATTGGTTTGATCAAAACTCCTGGTTAGTTGCAACAGCTGAATGCACATGATTTGTCAATCTGGGTTGTCTTAGTTTATACCAAGTTGGGATTTCAAACTAGGGTTTGTAGCCCAGTCTCTTACTGGTGTCTGGCCAGAGATGGCAAAACAGGAAAAATGGTCTCAGTGTTGGGAGTTGGAGAGGAAGCAAGAAGTAGAATCTTCAGAGTTCATGCACCAACTAGAATTTGTCAATAACATCTAGAAGACTAATCAGGGTTTGTTGTCCAAAAGGCAGTTTATTGTGATGTCAGAACACAGTCATTGTTAAGGCTGAACAAGTCTCGGTGGATGATCAGTGCCTGATTCAGAGACTGCTTGAGAATCCATGGAAACTGTTTTAGTTAAGAGACTAGATAATCACGCAAAAACATACTTTGTTAAAAGACCTTCTACACTTCAGGAACAAAAATAGTCACTGACATTTCCCCTATACAATGGTTGCTTCCTCCCCCATGGATGAAAGGAGCTTATTTTTTGAAAGGACATGAAAGGAGCTTATTTTTTGAACCGACCTAATGCTAGCAAGGAGAGCGGCTTGAATAGTTGGGACTTCGGTTCATGTTTTATATTGCTATTCTGAATGGTCACACCTCCTTTCAAAGTTTTATGGACCTCAGTATCCATGTGTGTACTTATTCTCTTTTTGGGATATTGTCAGATGAGTTATCGCAAAATAGTTCAAGTTTTATTAAGCTTCTCAAAACTTCTTAAGACAGACCAGGTAATAAACAATGCAACAGAAAAGGTACAAAGATCACATTTGGGTCCCATCCTTCATCTAAGGAGCTCAAGGTGATATATAGCTTTCCTCATCCCTCCCCTTCTCTCTCTAACATGCAACATCTTGCCATTTTACTCTCACAACAGACCACTGAGGCTGAGAGATGGCAATGGCCACCCAGGGATCTGACCTAGTCAGGTGAATCTGAACCTAGATCTCCCAGGGTAGGTCACACACTACCCACTACATGTCACTGTCTCTCACACATGCCCCACAGTAGTTCTTCATACTCTTGTTTGGCAAGCCAGTGAAAATTCTGCTAAGTCACAGCCCTGCCTAATGGGTGCGAAGAACCAGCTGCCATAATGAGAATTCTCAATTTGGATTTTTTTTAAAGCAAAGACCGAAGTTCCTAACTATCATGGGTATACAGCAAACATAAATGGAAAGATTTCTGCACTCTCCCCTTCCTTCCATTTACCCCCATGGCCATCCCACATCCATGCCAAACATTTCCAAAACCTAAATCGCACAAGACAAAACCATCAACAAAAGAAGTATATGAAATATACTGTACCTATGCATAGAATGAGGCAAATTTTATTTTACACAGAATACATAAAGCTCCCATCTTATGACTGCCAAAGGTGTCCAAGCAATTTGCCAAAGGGTACATGCTGGCAAATTCTGCCAACCAAGTTATTGATTACACAAAACTTGTTCTCTCCTGTGTAAGCCTAGAAGACCATTTGCACCAGCTGCTCCCGAGCTCCCAGGAGACAGGAAAAATTACAGGGTTGTCCAGCATGTTTTTCTTTCCAAAGACACGTGGCCCCTCCACCTTTTTTCTACTCCAGAGGCTCATTTGCAACACCTGGAAACCAGTGTGTGCTCCCCAAACTAGGGTGCCATGCCAATCTGTTGCCCACTTGAGCTGCTGACCACCACTCAGCAGACAATGCTTGAATTCCATCCCCTCCCACCTAGAATTGATGAGCAGCCCTCATCCACCTGTACTCTGAAAGATCTGGAAAAGCAAAGAATAGTCTTGGGATCATCAAACTGACAGTCCATACATAGCATCAGAGATTCGTAGAACACACTTGGCATGACATTCATCAGAAATCTTGCTGCTTCAAAGGGCAAGATGACCACAAATACATGCACACATCCTGTTTAAAACCTTGTGCCTTAAAAAAATGTTGTGATCAACTTAGAGTAAAACCCAGAGCATACCGGCTTCTTTTCCCAATTCAAAATCTGAGTTAGGAAACCTGACTGCAGTCCTTCGGTTTTCTTCTATAGAAGCAGATGGCTGCCATCCATTCTTTGGGATGGGTGAGTTAAAGCACTCCATTAGAGGGACACTGTTGGGGTGCAAGCAAAGCCCATCTTCTTCTCCTGTCAGTGGGCGGTTTGGCCTTGACCAACAGCGATGCTGCAAAGTCTTGTGTGCAGGCACACACCCCAGACTCCAGGCAACAAGTAAACTTTCCCTCTGCACACATCCTACCCACCATCACAAAGACAGGCACGTTTCTCACGATTAAGAATTGTCTTTAAGGCATTTCACACCCATTCTCTCGGGAATCCAGGAAAAAGCCCTGCACTGTAGGCCAGCCTTTCTTTCCCTATATTTCAGACCTGCGAACAAAACCGAGCAAACAGCAGCCTTCCTAAACCCCTCTTCCAAGAACACAGCAGAATCTCAATGAGATAGTTCAGGAGGGTGCTTTTATAAAGGGAACAGAATCCCACTGTTCCCTGTTTGTATTATGGTACTGCATTGCTTTCTGCTTTTGTCATTCCAATTTTTTTTGCACTGTGTGTGACATCTTGCCTTGACCTGGATAGCCCAGGCTAGCCTGATCTCATCAGACCTCAGAAGCTAAGCAGAGTCAGCCTTAGTATTTGGAAGGGAGACCATCAAGGAATGCCAGGATTGTGACGCGGAGGTAGGCTATGGCAAACCACCTCTGAACGCCTCTTACCATGAAAACTCCATGGGGATGCCATAAGTCAGCTGTGACTTGATGTTAAAAAAAAAAGAGACATCTCACATGATACATCTGATACTTTGTGTTTGTGGGGTTTTTTTGCATTGCTTCTAATTTTTGTATCCTAGTCCCATTGCATTGTTTATTGGATGGCTCAGGCTACTTGACTGCATTGTTTCCCACTGTGTGAGCAAGTCTTGGAGAGAAAGGTGGACTACAGATGTAGTTAATAAAATTATGTAAATGGGGCACTTCCTAGTTCAGAGCTCAGCTGCATTATCGATACGCCACATGGCTTTGCAAATCCTAAGGTACATCTGAGCAGTGACCTTGCACCAGGGCTACAGCCAAGCCCTGTTTGCCAGGGTGCCGGAAGTCAGGCCAACACAATAAAATCCCCCTGCCCCATTCTCCTGGCACTTACGGGGTTACACTCCTCGATGCGGTACAGCTGCTCCGGGGTGCATCGCTCCAAGACAGGTTCCAGGACAGTGAAAGGAACTCCACCAACTTCATAAATTGCTGTGTGGAAGGAGGGGAAAATTATGTGCGCTGTAGTCTTCAGATTGCTGTCTCTCTATGGTAAAAACCCCCAGGGAGGGTCACAAACATATGACAAGCTCGCGTGGTATAGTGGTCAGACTGTCCGACTAGGATCTGAGAGACCCTGTGCTGAATCCCTCCATTAGCCAGGGAAGCTTGCTACTAAGTGCTGTTATCTAACACCTACAGCGATCTGAGCCTTTCAGCATATAACACCAAATACTGGCAACATGGTGTTAATATCCTGACCTGGAAAATCTGCTTTCTTCCTTCTTCATTTTAAAAAAGAAATCATATCATACCATCTAGCCTGAGAAAGAGTTCCGATAAGATTGAAAGCTTGCAAACAACGCTTTGTGTCATTTAATAAAAAGGTATTACATGGATATTGTTTCTTGTCCTGGTTTTGCAAGGACCAATATGGCTGTAACTGCAACCATGAAATTAAAAGGCGCCTGCTCCTTGGGAGAAAGTGATGGCAAACCTAGACAACATAATAAAAAGTAGAGACATCACACTGCCAACAAAAGTCCATATGGTCAAAGCAATGGTATTCCCAGTAGTCATGTACGGCTGCGAGAGTTGGACTATAAGGAAGGCTGAGTGTTGAAGCATAGATGCTTTTGAATTATTGTGCTGGAGAATACTCTTGAGAGTCCCTTGGACTGCAAGGAGATCAAATCAGTCAATCCTAAAGGAAATCAACCCTGACTGTTCCCTGGAAGGCCAGATACTGAAGCTGAAGCTCAAATACTTTGGCCACCAAATGAGAAGGGAGCACTCATTGGAGAAGACCCTGATGCTGGGAAAGATTGAAGGTCAAAGAGGAAGGGGAAGGCAAAGGATGAGATGGTTAGACAGTGTTATTGAGGCAACGAACATGAAATTAAGCAAACTCCAGAGCACGACAGAAGACAGGAGGGCCTGGCATGATGTGGTCCATGGGGTCGCGAAGAGTCAGACTCGACTATGCGACTGAACAACAAAATATTGCCTTTTGAAATTCAGAATGCATCAAGATGCACTAGATCACAGCCACGTTGCCCCAAAGGCTGCTTGGTGACCATTAGGGACTCAGCTACAGATCACTGTGACTTCCAGCTACTTCAATGCCCCTTTTCCAAACTGGCCGAAGTTGTCACTCTGAGAAGTGCAGAAAAGGGCAACTCGAATGATAAAAGGGTTGGAACACTTTCCCTATGAGGAAAGGTTAAGGCGCTTAGGGCTCTTCAGCTTGGAGAAACGACGACTGAGGGGTGACATGATTGAGGTTTATAAGATTATGCATGGGAAAGAGCACGTAGAGAAAGAGGTACTTTTCTCCCTTGCCCACAATACAAGAACTCGTGGGCACTCCATGAAATTGCTGAGCGGTCGGGTTAGAACGGATAAAAGGCAGTACTTCTTCACCCAAAGAGTGATTAACACTTGGAATTCACTGGCACAGGAAGTGGTGGCGGCTACAAGCATGGATGGCTTCGAAAGGGAATTAGATAAGCATATGGAGCAGAGGTCCATCAGCGGCTATTAGCCACAAGGTATAGATAGGGACTCTGGGGCAAGTGATGCTCTGTCATCTTGGTGCTTGGGAGGGGGTCAACAGTGGGATGGCTTCTAATGTCCTGGCCCCACTGGTGGACCTCCTGATGGCACTGGTATTTCTGGCCACTGTGGGATACAGAGTGTTGGACTGGATGGGCCTTTGGCCTGATCCAACATTGGCATCTCTTATGTTCTTATGTTCTTAGAAGAGGTCACAGGCCTAAGGGCTGGCAGGTGGAAGGGATCAGCAGCAGGAGCTAAACCACAGAAATCAGGAACTTCTTCTTGGCTCTGAAAGTCATGCTATGATGGGGGGGGGGCAGCCTCAGATGATTAGTTAGGACAGGAGTCTGCATCCTATGGCTCTAGAGCCAAACACAGCTCAATCCGGAACTAAATATGGCCTTTTTAAAAAGAAAATGAAATCTTGAAGGTCTATTGGAGGGGTGGTATGCTAGAAGAGCCAGTCTGTGAAAGGGAATGGAAAATGAAGCCTAAAGGGCTCCTTTTGAGATGCTTCAGAAAAGGGAAACGACAGAGGTGAACAGCTGCCAAGATTCCAAGTGCAAGTTATGCAGGTTTACACCAGTGCACTAAAACTATTGTGTAGGGTGCTTCTGTATATGTTTATTACTACTGCATTATTGGTATGCATTCAGCACAAATCTAGCTGAAAAATACCCTACCAGTATTTTGGGGGTATTTTTTAAACTGGTTATTGATTGGTGCTTAATTTCAGCTATTCGAAATGGCAAAGCCCCCAAAATCCCAAAAATATTCAGGATTTTCAAGACCACTGGATAGTTGAAGTTAAAGGTGAACTCAGCACTTGGAGAAGGTGTTCAAAGCGATCATGCTCCCTTTAAACACCTTTCCCTCCACTGGAAACAATAGAGGATTGGGGCAATTTCTTTGGGGGGGGGCACAGAATTGGACTCCCTTGGTCCAATCTTTTTGAAACTTGGGAGGGGGGGGTTGAGGAAAGGCACCAACAGCTATGCTGCAAATTTGGTGCCTCTACCCCCAAAAAAGCCCCACCAGAGCACCAAATACTCCTGGATCTATTCTTCATTATATCCTATATTTATATTTATTTATTTATTTATTTATTATTTGTATTTATACCCCGCCCTCCCCGGAGGCTCAGGGCGGCTAACAACATATAATTAATAAAACAGTAAAACAGTAGAAAAAATACAAAATATTAAAATTACATCATAATGTATAACCTATCTAAAACAGATCTAGCTAAAACCAAGATGGCGGTCCTCTAAGCGTCCCAGTCTTGCCCATAATGCAAAAGAGAGTATTTAGGGCCTTGGCAGTCCATGCCCATATCCAGATGTCCTCCTGGGCGTCGATAGTATGCTGATACATTGGTGGTCTAGTGGTGGTGGCGGCTCCTATTCGAAAGCCTGGCGGAAGAGCTCCGTCTTACAGGCTCTGCGGAACTGTCCTAGGTCCCGCAGAGCCCTGATCTCCTCCGGGAGCTCATTCCACCAGATAGGGGCC